ATATGATTCCTGACCTTCAGAAGTTTATCATTTCACTGGGAAAATAAGTCCAGCACTCATGAAACAATTAAATATTTATATTAGCAGCATGTGAGTAAACAGCAGCGCAAATGGTATGCAAAGACAAGGACAAAAAGCATTCAAAGGCGAGAAAGACCATGTGCCGAAATGGTCAGGAAAGTCACGTGAAAATTTTATTTGAGATGCATCCTGAGGGTTGAAGTGGAAAAGAGGAAGGAGGAAGACATTTCTAGAAGGGATAAAATCCTGAGTAAAGAGTCTCAGGTAGAAACAAACATAACAACTCAAAGGACAATGAGAAAAAGTACAGAAATGAATTCTAAGATATATAGTAAAGTCTGTGAATCAACCATACAGAACGTTGGAACCTTAAGCATAGAAGTGTAAAACTGATTTTGTAAGCAATTGAGGGCTAGTGAATAATTTTTTTCCTTTTTACTGAATTCATTGGGGTGACACTAACAACAAAATTCTACAGGCTTCGGGTGCTCAATTCCATAACACTTCACCTGTACACGGCACGGTGTGTTCGCCGTCCCCAGGCAAGCCTCTGTCCCTCACCATTTATTCCCCGTACCTCCTCCCCTCCACTTCTCCCAGCTCCCTTCCCCTGGCAATCACCACACTGTTCATGTCCATGAGCTAAGGGCCAATCAATAATTTTGAGAAAAGGAGTGGAATGACCAAATGGTGGCTGAGAAAGAATCATCTAGCAGTAGTATTCACAAAAAGCACCATGAAATAAACATAAACTGATGGCTTCCATTTGCCAGGATCTAGACTAGGCACTTCACATGTTATATTATAATATATATCTTCGCAACAATCTTATAAGGTAATTATTTATCTTCCCCCTTACAGATCAGGATATTTTGGAACAGAGAGGTCCCTAGTCCTAAATACGTCCAAACACCTAACTTAAAAGGGTGACATGGTCAAGCTGAGACATTAGGGGACTGTGCCCATACATTGCTGGGGAGAAAGTAACGTGGTTTTGCTGTTGTGGAAAAGTTTAGTGGTTTCTCAAAAAGTTAAACACAGTTACCAAATGACCCCACAATTATACTCGTACACATATACCCCCCAAATTACAAACAGGTACTCAAAAAAGCACATGTTCATAGCAATGCTATTCATAATAGCCAGACAATGGGTGGAAATGACCCATATTTTCATCAACATATAAATGAATAAACACATGTTACATATAAATACAATGGAATATCATTCAGTCAACAACAGAAATAAAGCACGAACACACACTACAACATGGCTCTCTCTCCAAAATATTATACTAAGCGAAAGAAGCCAAACACACAAGGTCACATGTTGTATGATTCCATTTATATAAAATATCCAGAATAGATAAATTCACAGAGAAAGAGGGCCAACTGGTGGTTGCCAGGAGCTGGGGATAAGGGAAGTGGAGAGAAAATTGCTTAATAGTAAGAGGTTTTACTTCGGAGTAATGCAAATGTTTTAGAACTAGACAGAAGTGGTGGTTATAAAGCATTGTGAGTGTATTTAATGCCATTTTAAATGCATAGATAAAATACATAATTGTTCACTTTAAACAATTATGATTAATTTTTTATTATATAAATTTTACCTCAATAAATTACTTTTTAAAAATAGAGAACTATAGTAAACTAGAAGATATAGATATCTATCATACCCCTTTTAAAACATTCCATTGGGGCTATAACCAAATTGTTCAAGATCACAAAATGAGTAGGAAGCAGACTTAGAACCCTTCCACTATTCACTGCCATTTCTCTGGAGAAGAACTGAAGCAAGGGACCAATTAGGAGGTAATGGATTAGCCTTTGGGTGAAATGTTTGGCATCTAGACTAAGGAGATGGCAGTGGAAAAGATAATAAGGGATAAATATAAAAATACTCAAATTAAGGGTCTATATAGATCGACTGACTATACAGGAGTCAAAAAATGTCAAGGCTTTGAATCTTAAATAGGAGAATGATAAAAGTATTTTTTTAAAAAGGAGAGATAGAAGTCATGGAAGAAACAGTTTGTGATTAGATTTACTCAGTATCATAGAATAAATCATTAGCTGAGGTTACAACTTAAGATTCACTTTTAAAAATTTATACAACCTTGCAAACTTCTGTGTCTTACTGCATTTTGAAGATTTAAAAAGTGACCTTAGATATAACCTTAACTGTTAAACAACAGACATAAAATTTGGTTTCTATTGCAATTTGGCAATGAACCTGAAAAAAGAGTCTATCTAAATCTGAATATTTAGCATAACAAAGTATAAAAATGTAATAGTTTAGTGCATATAAAATATAATTATAAATACAATAAAATATGATTTTAAATTCATGTTTGGTACAATATACATGGTACCCTACAGTTATATTTTGCTTAATGTTATTTTACTCTTTCAAAATTATGCAACTAATAATTGTTGCCAAATGATCTATAAATATGTTTTAATTCCAAACCAGTAATATTACTGACTTTCACTAATAAATCAGTAGCAATGCAATGGTTATATATAAAACTTTCTTCTGGGACCCACAGTTAGAGTAAAAGACTAAGTCTAATCATCAGGATTCAACACACGAACCTTATCATCCAGTATACAGCCTTAAGTCTTCCCTTATACCCAATTTAAGGGCCCAAAGTTGAAAGTGTTTTCCCTAGGAACTCAAGTAAACTCCAGTATGACAGAATGGGTGCTACCAAACCTGTCTTTCCAACCACCTCCATCTTAGGACCAGGCTAGACTTTAACTGTGTGCCTTACCAGACTGAGCTCCAGTTCTTTTATTCCTCCCTCTTTATCTACTTACTTTTAATAACACAATGAGCACCTTGAATTCATCACTGAAACAGATACGGACCTCTAAGTTCTGTGTTTGCGTACATGCTTCTCCCTATCCATTCATCAGCTTCCCCTGTCCAGGCCACAAGTTCTCATTGAAAGCAGTGCTTAATATTTTTGAAAGCGGTATATTATATCATATTATAAAGCACTACATTCAATGGAACTGGCATCAAAAAGCAAAGTTTGGTAAAAATGGTTACTTAACCAGTGGCAATGAGAAGTAGCAAAGTTTTGTAGAACAATTTAGCAAAAAATAATAAAAAGCCACTCTAAAGATCAAAACTAACCTCATAAACTCATTTCTATAGCAACCAATCCCAGAAAATAATCTAAAATAAGGAAAACACAATTTTTAACAGGATGTACATCATAGTGTTACTGATAAAAGGGAAAAGCGGTAGAAAACATATTTAATAAGAAGAAATTAATAAATAATGCTACATCTTGCTAAGGTCTGTCCTTTGCTTATCCAGGCCAGTATACATTTTTTTAATTCGAAAACTTCTCAAATACACAGAATCTAGCTTTTTATCCTTAAAGAATTTACAATATTAAATTTTTAAAAATGAGGGATGACAGCCTGGACTGACATAAACAAGTTTACACACTGTGAGGTTTGGACTGTGAGATTTGTTTTATAATGTGCTTCAAAATCATATTAAAAGATTGAGAAATAAAAGAAAACTGTATAAAACTATGAAATAAGGTTCTTTATAGTTATATTAATGGAAACAAATATTTTCTGGACTAAACACCATAAATATTTTCCTTTAGAGAATGAGTTTGTCAATACTCAAATTCTGAACTAAAAAGAAATATTTTTCAAAGCAAAATGCCACCAAAGAATGAATATTATGTAAATGATAGAGAATCACATTAACTTTATCCTATAGTATAAAACACTGTAACAAACAAAATTTTAACATATCATGTTTTATACATAAAGATAAAATGAATAAGGTTAATGCATAAAATATAAGTGACATTTAAAGTAATATGGAGGGGTTTAGAGACTCATGGTCAAAATACTTAGCAATTTTTATCCCTTTATGGTAAGGAACTTCTATAAGCAATTTATGAAGCTAGTATATCATTTCTACAGGTGTTCCCGATCTTTAGACTGGACATTCTGAGTCAGAATGCAAGGAGCAAATACATGAAATCCTTAAAATCATGTGCACATACATATCTTTCTCAATCAAGGAATACAAAAATACAACTATTGTCATTTTGTAGTATGAAATTACCTTTGATGGTAAAACGGAATTCTCATTTTACTATTGGAAATTATGAACTGTTTATAGGTCTTTAAAAAGTGTAATTTTTAAAAATATGTACTACTTTGGTGATATTATTCTAACCCTACCTCACACTGGATCTTGACAGCTTATTATATGAATAAGTTACGCACATTTTTAAAGAGCACATTAATGTTCAAAGTAAAATATCAGTACTTAGAAAAGATGACACAGAGCTTCATACTTTTAGAAAGGTTAAGTATTTAATGTCTACAGGAATATGGGTATTATGTCTAAAACCAAAGTCATAGCATTATTGTATCACTGAGAAATAAAGCATATAGATAGTATTTTAAGATTAGGTAGGATCCAGAACAAACAGACCAATGAATTAGTGGAGTGTAACTGCAGGAATTATAAAAAGACATTTACCTTGTTTCCTTTGGCTCAATGAAAACCTCAATTTAATGCTCATATCTTATACTAAATCAAAATAGATCATAGACTTAAATCTAAAAATGTAAGAATATAAAACCTTTAGAAAAAAATGCAGGAGAAAATCTTCATGATGTGAGGTTAGGCAAAAAAATTCTTAACCATGTCAGCAAAAGTACCATCCATAAAAGATAAAGATCAATAAATTGAACTTCATCAAAATTAAAACAAAATTCAAGTCAATTTCATACACAGAAATGACAGTGACCTTTTAATGTTATACTGCAGCAATAATTATTTAAGGTAAATTATGATCATATACATATAATCTTTATCTCATAAATTTGTGAGGATACTTGAAAATAGGTGTTTTTCTTTTTGAACCACTTGTAACCATTCTAGGATTTATTTCAAACTTTTTCATTTAAATAAAGTTAATTATCAATACTTACCAGCAGCTTCAAGAACCAACTGTAGTCTGGCTTTGGCTTGTTCAGCTGGTGGCTAAAAATCAACCATAAAAGACATTTACAGATCAGTTTTAATAGATGGACCTTTAAATTAATGCATTGTTATGTGAATATCAGAAAAGTGAGAGAACTTTATTATAATCAATATTAACATCCATTCATATTTTAACAAAATTCCATCACAGCAGCTCTACCAATCTGCTTTCATCTCCATAATTGAATCATACTTTTCATTAATATGATGTAAGAATTAAGTTTTTTTTTCATTTTTTTACTGGAAAAGGTTTTGTTTACTCCCCAAATATTGTACCAATCAGCAACAGCCTAAATAACTGCAACTTAATCAGGGAAAACCCACACATTTAACAACAGATTCTCAAGATGTGTTATTTCTTTGCATAAGGGAACATGTGAAGTAACCTATTAGAATTTAAATAGCAACCTGAAGCCCAATGCTTCAAACAAGTCACATCCTAACACCAAACTATTTCCTGTTTTCTTAACTGTATTAGAAAGGAGCAACTGTGATGAAGATAGGATACAACGTGAGTTATGTACTTTCAGTTCCTACTAGCTATCCTAAACTTGTTCTCTCAATAAATCTTGATTCAATACAGCTGATAATGCTGAAACTAAAGTTCTTTCCTATCAGTGACCTTATTCTGAGATTTTTGGATAATGTGTTGGTAACACTCAAACTATAACATGAATTGTATCAAGGCTATAATTTTATAAAAAACTGTTAAAAACTGTTTTTCATATTTACATCTTCACAACACATTTATAAAAATGTCAGCAATATTAGTCAGTAAGTGGCTAAACAACCTTGTTTATATATGAGACCATCATTTGAGAATTAACATTTAACAAAATATATTAGAATATTTCACTGATTGTGAAAAAAACACTTTAAGGAAGAGAGTTAAGTAACTGGAAGTATAAAGATGTTCTTGGAAAAGTTTAAGAATCTGAATAGCATTTCTGAATAAACTGTAAGGATGCAAACGGGAGAGCAGCAGATGACATGAGAAGGAAGACAGAAGAGCCGCTTGTATCATGGAGCAGGGTGAACAAACTGTAACCCTAGAACAGGAGCTATTTTATAAGTAAGTTTTACTGGAACACAGCCATGCCATTGCTTATATGTTGTCTGTAGTTGCTTTTGTACTTAACTCAACAACAGCAGAGTCAATTATTTGTAGCAGGAAAGTGGTGCCAGCAAAGCTTAACATATTTACCATCTGGACCTTTAAGGAAAAGTTCGCTGACCCAAGCCACAGACGGTAGAGAGACTTGGGAGAATCTGACCAGCAGGGTGAAGAGATGATCTCTTTACTTCGATACACCATTCTAGCAACACCCTTGAGGATGAGTGGAAAGGAATGTGATTGGAGGGAAGAGCGCAGTTAGGGAGCAAATAAAGAATTCCAGGCCAGAGGCTTCGTGGGCCTGAGATGAAGCAGTAGCAGCAAGGCTGGGCAGGAAGATCCAGATGTGAGAAATACTTAATCTGTAACATGTTTTGGATATGAGAGAAGGAGGAGCTGACAAACAAAAACAAAAAGGTACTTTATGTCATGTCTGTAGAGAAAGTGTATGTTAAGTGTGCTCTATAAAGTATTGAAAATATGTGAGATCAAATTAAAATATCACAGAAAAATATCAGTAGAAGACTGTGACGTCTACTAAATATAATTTCCCTAACAGTTATAAACTAACCTGCCTATAGGGGACAAATGGTTAATACAAACATTTGTGATGATAAAAGGCAAATGGCATTTGATATAAGTATCAGGGAGCACATGGCCCAGCCAAAGGAAGCAGATGATACTTGGCATCAACTCACTGTCATCACGCAGAGATGCAAGTCCAGGGTTACAAAATTTCTTGATTTTTCATGAGACTTTAAATCATCATGAAGACCAATTCTGTGTGGAACAAATACTACTTCTAAGAAACAGGTTCAATCCCAAGACAGTTTGTGACCTCTCCATCTACTTAATATGCACTATTGAAACATGATACTTTCTGCAATATAACAGAAATAGAAAGGCAAGAAGAAAGTGACTTTCTTACAGGCAGGCCCCAAGCAGGCTAACACTTATCAAGCACACATTTCACGGTGTCCTAGTAAGCAGTGTCCTTTGACAGAAAAATGATAGGCATTTTATTGGTTAAGATATTTCATGGAAAAGTTTTATGTATTTCCTAAGGAAAGATTTTTTTAACAATTAAGAAATATTGAAGACATAGAAAAATATATCAGGCACCATGAATTTTCTTTTGTTGTGTGCTAGATATGTTCGTGTTTGCATAAGCACTCTTGGTCTTCATTCTGGGCCACAGTTAAATCACTTGGAAGCAGTTTGAGCCTCTCCATTCCTAATTTGTTAAGCAGGACGAGCACTGCTTTAAGTCTGTAGTTAGTTTTTCCCCACTATTGAGACTATTTTTTTTAGTACTTGAGGGGAAGCACCATGGTGTATGAAATTTTCTATAGTTTGTTGGGAACAGGCACTACTTGCAACTCTGTGTAAGTGACAGACAATTCCTCTAATCACATCAGGTGGGTCTTTTCCAAGGCTTGAACAGGTTATTTCCTCACATGCATGTACTGATAAGCAGTCTGCTGAACACACGAAGGGGACTTTCTGCAGGCCTTCTGTTGCTCACTACATTTTGGTAGACTGCCCTGCGAACTCTACAGGCTTGGCCTCCCTGGTCTCACAGCTCCATGTTCTGAACTCAAAGAGACCACCAGGCTCTGCGTGACCAGGAAACTTTCTCCAGGACTTAAGTCGGAATAATTAAAGGCTTAACCTAATTTTTTCCTAATCTCTCAGGAATCACTGCCCTTCATGCTTGAGGTCCTCTGTCTTGAGAAGTATTTTTTTCAATTAATTTGTCCATTTTTTTTTAGTTCTTTCAAGTTGAAGAGTAACTCTGATCCTCATGACTCCATCTTCAGTGGAATAGGAAGTCTATTATTTCTTTTAATAGTACAACAATATCACGAGGTAAGTTACTTGGCCACAGTCACACAGCCATTTTCTAATGTATGCTAATAAAAGTGCAACATCTATACAGATAAATCTTTAAGTTCCCTGGGTCTGAATAATTTCAACGTCCTCTTCTGACTAATCTGTTCTTTCAAAGCTAAGCTCAAGATGCATCACCTCCTGAAAACCATACCAATTTCAGTTTATTTTCTTCCTAACACCTTTCATGATGGTTACAATTCTCTGCTCTACGTTCTTGTAATGAACCGAGTTTACATGTATCAGTACATCAGTATAATTACTCTTTTTGTTGTCTAGATTTCTTTCTTTGAAGACTATCAACTTCTTCAAAGCACAGGTCTTACATCATTGTATCATTAGCACCTAGAACAGTGTCTGGAAAACAGTCAATGCTCAGTAGTATTTATTTAAAATAAACTTCCATGTAAATTTTAAAATGCTCTTAAGTATTGTATATAAATAAATTTTGATGTATTAATTTCACTGAATACTATCTGTAAGAATTTACCTAATTCAAATAGCTGAATTTTTGAGAGAATGATATTACATAACCTGATATGATTAATATTTTAAAGTATATTTTATTGATTATGCCATTATAGTTGTCCCAATTTTTCCCCCTTTGCCCCCCTCCACCCAGTAACCCCCTTCCCTCCAGCAATCCTCCCCCTTAGTTCATTTCCATGGGTCATGCATAAAAGTTCTTTGGCTTCTCCATTTCCTATACTATTCTTAACCCCTCTCCCCTGTCTACTTTGTACCTACCAATTATGCTTCTTATTTCCTGTATCTTTTCCCCCAGTCACCCCTCCCCCTCCCCTCTGATCTCCATTTCTGTGATTCTCTGTTCCTGTTCTAGTTGTTTGCTTAGTTCGTTTTTGTTTTTGGTATTTTTTTAGGTTTAGTTGTTGATAGTTGTGAGTCTGTTGTCCTTTTACTGTTCATAGTTTCCATCTTCTTTTTCTTAAATAAGTGCCTTTAACATTTCATATAATGGCTTGGTGGTGATGAACTCCTTTAGCTTCACCTTATCTGGGAAACACTTTATCTTCCCTTCCATTCCAAATGATCTTTGCTGCATAGAGTAATCTAGATTGTAGGTCCTGCTTTTCATCACTTTGAATACTTCTTGCCTGTCCCTTCTTGCCTGAAAAGTTTGTTTTGAGAAATCAGCTGACAGTCTTATGGGAACTCCTTTGTAGGTAACTCTCTGTTTTCTCTTGCTGTATTTAAGATTCTCTCATCTTTAACCTTTGTCATTTTCATTATGTTGTGTCTTGGTGTGGTCCTCTTTGGGTCCAACTTGTTTGGGACTCTCTGTGTTTCCTGGACTTGTATGTCTACTTCACTCACCAAAACAGGGAAGTTTTCTTTCATTATTTATTCAAGTAAGTTTTCAATTTCTTGCTCTTCCTCTTCTCTTTCTGACATCCCTATGATTTGGATTGTTAGATCTTTTGGAGATGTCCCAGGGTCTTCTTACACTTTCCTTTTTTTTTAAAATTCTCATTTCTTCAATTCTGTTCTGGTTGACTGTTTATTTTTTCCTTATGTTTAAATCATTGACTGGAATCTCAACTTACTTCCCTTCACTTTGGTTCCCTGTGGATTTTTCTTTATTTCACTGAGGGCAGCCTTCGTTTCTTCCCTTCTGCTTTTGCTGTGCTCAATGAGTTCTCTCAGCATCCTTATCACCAGTGTTTTGAACTCTGTATCTGACAGGCTGGCTACCTCCATTCTGTTTAGTTCTTCTTCTGGGGTTTTGTTCTGATCTTTCACTTGGGCCATATTTCTTTGTCTCCTCGATTTGGCACCCTCCCGGTGTTTGTTTTTGTATATTAGGTGTAGCTTCTTTGGCTTCCTGTCTTAGTGTGCTTGTTAAGTTGTATGGTGTGGAGCCTTAGGTATTCGCCAGGGCAGGGCAACTCACTTTACCGCTTTGTGGCTCTCTATGAGGGGGAGAGGTCGGAGAAGGGACAGTGCTGCTGCCTGGCTGCTGGAGGCTTGCTCGGCA